CAATGCTTAGCTCAGGCCACAATTCATGACACACAATGGTTACGTATGGCCAAAGACTTCAGCTTGAACTTGAGGTTTTTATTTAGATACCGAGTAGGTGAAGGTCACAAATAGTGAATTCCCTCTTCTCTCAACAAATGCCAGAAGTACTTTATAGTAACAGGCAATGTGGTGGTTTGGCAAAATCTTTTCTCTATTAAAATATTTTTTATATTGTGCTGAACATTTGCCTGCACTACTGTAATCTGTAATGTAGTTGTCAAAATGTTATTTTATGCTCTATAATTACACTCTTAGTTTCTCACAACAATATGTCCTTTGGCCTTAAAGTTCATTCACATAAGAGAATGGCCGTTAATTATTCCATAATTTGTTGCACAGATAGAGAACACATACAAAGTAAAAAAAAAAAGAAAAAAAGTAAAAGTTACCTGATAAACGATACACTCAGAAATAACATCCACAATCATCTCCTGGTCTGGCTGTCAACTCCCTGCTTGAGCTATCTGTCCTGAAAATGGCATCAAGTGTTTTTGTGTCCTCATCCCTCAGCTTTAAATTTCTTCCCTTACATCCAAGATTTTAATTATTCTAAAATTATGTGACATTATGTCCAAGAGCTGTTTTTAAGTGGGGGAGGGGGAATCCATTCACCCTTCCTGTGTTTATTTTGCCTAGCTTACCCATGTTTTCTGCACAGATAATGTTTGCAGCAACAGAACTAGCTGTATGTTTTTTGTGTGTGCGTGTGTGTGTGTGTGTGTGTGTGCGTGTGTGTGTGTGTTGCCAATAAACTGACATGTTGCAGTGAAACAGATTGATGGATGACGGATGCAACACCATCATCCACATGTGGTAGTGTGTTCCTGTTTCTGTTAGCTTACTAACTTACTTGTTACTCGTCTGCTTTGAGACCCAGTGGAAAGCAGATTTTGATGTATTTATTGTTGAAGAGTTGCAAGAGTTTTTGGCTGTAAAATATGATGACATATACATTTTCAGAAAATACAGAACGCAACAGCCTCTCATTCCCAAAACTGCTTTGTTCCTCCTCCCAGAGTAATCATCTGTAAGACAGAAAGCGGGCCTCTTAGTATATGAGGTAAATATCTGTCTTGCTGCTTCATCCGTCAGCATGGGCTTAGTACTTTTACAGTGTATATTTTCTTTATGTTTCCGTCTGAACAAGTTGGCTGTCTTTGTTGTCTTTTTTTTTGGCTGTGTTTCCAGGGAATCAAAGACAGTCATTAATCTGGTTTAATGTTGGATTATAAAGAAAAATCTTTGGCCAGAAGCATCACTCTGAAGACTTTGATCAATAGCTGCTCTCTGGATTTCCAATCAGAGCCTGACAAAGATACATTACCTTTTGGGGGTTTCTGTCCCCACCAGCTATAGAGAGGCTAAATCTGTTGACGGAGCACAGAATCACCACACTACTGCTGTTGAAATTCGGATTACTCTGCTATGTTTGCAACTCTGGTATATATTCACAGCCTTGGAATAAATAAATAAATAAATAAATAAATAAGTAGCTCTGATCTCTCTTACTGTGCCGTACAAACCAAAAGAACACATGGCAATCGTGTTTGTCGTTCTTGTCCCTAGGTGCTACGTGTGGTGCGCCTGATAAAAATTTCTCCTGCTCTGGAGGACTTTGTGTACAAGATATTTGGTCCAGGTAAAAAACTGGGCAGCCTGGTGGTCTTCACGGCCAGCCTCCTCATCGTCATGTCAGCCATCAGTTTGCAAATGTTCTGTTTCGTGGAGGAGCTGGACCGCTTTACAACTTTTCCCAGGGTAAGCAACTCCTCACATTTATCTTACTGACCAATAATAATAATAATAATAATAATAAGCACTTTTGAAGCATGGCATTTTGAACTTAATTATTTTTTTGTTAATTGTGCTTGAAGTTTGAGTTCTGTAGATTCCATAAATTTTCTTAGAGAACTTAGTTTAGTGGCACATTAGATGAGACGTCCTCCTCCTCTACTAACCGTTAAAGTTTCATCTGTTCTGATATATTTCAGTGGACTCACTGAATCAATTGTATTTTTCAGATTGTTTAAAATGTGCTTGTGAATTTGATATCTATTTTCAGTTATGCATTCCCATGTAATTGTGCTCTCACCTTTGTGTTTTTCAAGAAGAATTAGTTATAAATGTAGTAGATATGTGAATTGGTTTTGTTCAAATAGTTTTATTTTGTGATTTTATGTCTGCATTTTTTTTTTTGTATTTTGTACGTCTATATAATCTTGGTAAAAAATCAGTTGCAGCATTTGTTATCTGTCTTATAGTGTCTCGAACTACGTCCCAACAAAGACATTTGCTACTTTGTGCCTGTAAAAATAGAAGTTTCACATTTGTTCAGGTTGAAATTATAAAGTTGTTTAGCTTTAATATTAGTCAACTAATATTTCACGCACCTCTGCAGTACGCCGTAGTTTATGCTAAAATATTCAGAGATCAGGCACATGGAAACACTAAACCAAGGTTTAAAATTTCAAGAGTTTCTGGAACGGCACCTCAAACAAGCGATCCGCAGGCCTGCGGGTGCTGATGACGGGGTGCATGATGGGTCGACAGATGTGCTACTGCCTTTGATTTCTAAGTGCTCACAAACTTATCTTTCTCTCTCATTAGTGACAACTTTCCACCTTCTGTATTTTTTATTTTTTTTTCCCCTCTCCCTTCCAACATTTCACTGATCTTAGGCAAGCGGGACATGAAAGACTGCTTGTGAACAGCTGCCACTTGTATGCTGTATTACCCTTCCCACTATCATTTTCTTCTCAGATTTTTATTTTTTTATTTTTTTTTTTTCGCTGCTGCTGCTGTTCCACGCACACACGTATGTGCATCCAGACACAAAGACACGTCACGGTTAACGATGTCTGACTGCCTTCCCCATGGGCAGGCAGCGTCTTTGGGTTTATCTCTATCGACACTTACTGAGACACGGCAGCAGGTGGGAAGGGTTGAGGGCATGGTGCTGCTGACAAAAAGAGATAAAGTACAGGGCGCCATTTGACTTCAGGGGGCCACCGTCTCACAGCTGGTTGTTCTTTACTCTTAAACTGACCTCCGCGGAGCCAAGAAAAGATGTCCGTGTCCTCGCTTCCTCCCTGCTCTCCCTGACTCGCATCTGTTTGCGAGGAAGGGGATAGATGGTCAGGAGGGAATTCATGCAGCAGCTGCGCAATATTTGCTCTTGAGTGAAAAAGCGTGTTTGAAATGTCAGATGTGTCTGCGCAGTTTCCTCCTTGTATCTGGTTTTCTGTCCCTTCCTCTGCTGCTCTTGTCTTCTGGGTTGTCTTTTTCACTTGTTAGCCTTTAGCTTTTTTTCTGTTATCATGTTTTTGTTTTTTTTTTGCTTTTTTTTCATCCCTGTAGGCGTTCATGTCCATGTTCCAGATCCTAACCCAGGAGGGCTGGATAGATGTCATGGACCAGACTCTGGTGGCTGTCGGAACAATGTGGGCTCCGGTCGTAGCCATTTACTTCATCCTCTACCATCTGTTTGCTACCCTGGTGAGGAACACGCTGTGCTGCTTATACTGGGTCAAATAAACAGCATAAAGCTATTCGATGGTTGCTGTTGGTACATTTGTATGCACAGCCATATTCTGTTGAAGATTATAATCTCATATCCTAAACAGTAAAAGCCAGTACGGTTAAAAGTATTCAAACCCTTTGACAGTTTTACAGTTGTTACTGTAAAACTGTACAAGGTTGGGTTTGTACATGGCAAACCCAACCTTCAATGTGTTTTATTGGATATTTGTATGACACGCCACTGGAAAGTAGAGCATAATTGTGAAATAAAAAGCAAAGGACATAGCGATTTCACTCTGCTCACCGCTCCATCTAGCTGCTGAGATTTTTGCCCAATCTTCTTTGCGATGTAAGATATGAACCCCCAAAAAACCTAGATGGCTTTCAGCCACACATAGCATTTTGCATGTAGGCATTAACATCCTCTTATGTAAAATATAATAAAATACATTGCAGTTTCTGTTTGTAAAGTGATAAAAAATGATAAAAAAAAAAAAAAAAAAAAACGTTCAAGCACTTTGAGTGCTTTCACAAAGATCTGTTCAGTGGAAAAAAGGTCAAATAAATGCAAAAATTTCTTTCGGCGGTCATTTAGTGCCAGCCTCTGTTTTTGTTCACTCAAGTGGTACATTTAATCACAGATAATCAGACTTGCAGGCGTAAGAAGCGCTGACATTTCAGTGTATGGCCCTCTGATACAAGGAGTCATCAGACAGCACACCAAATCTCAGGATGACTCACGACTCCCTTCAGACAGACAGGATGTCTTCCAGGACAGAGCAAGCTGCAAATACGAGCACAATGCAGAGTGTGTACAGTGAAAAGATGCGCAAAGACTCCACTGTCATTTTTTATTGTGATGGTAATTATTACATTAACATGTTGTAAGAAGCTCACACGCCACAGCTATGTTTGAAATCTCTCTTGTTGCATTTTAGATTCTGCTGAGTCTTTTTGTGGCTGTTATCTTGGACAATCTCGAGTTGGACGAAGACTTAAAGAAGCTCAAACAGGTAAATAAAAATTCTTTGAAGTTCTTTATAGTGTAGATTTACAGCAGCAGTTTTATGGGGAAATAATCCTTTTGTTTTGTAATTTAGCGCTGGCATTGTAACATGTCGCTCTTCACTTTGAGAAGTACTTGCCAAGTGTATTCCACTTCATGCTGCTACGCTGGTGTTGTTGCAGGCTTTCTTTTTACTTGGCAGATGAAACTTTGGAGATTACTTTATCGAGAGTTTGCTCAAAATAAAATGTAGCTGTCCATCAAAGACGCAGTTGGGTTTAGCGGATGATAATTCCACATAAACATAAGCTGGTGCCAGTTTTAAAAATACTCAGAGGAAAGTCAAGCTGCAGATTTATTGTACTGGTCACCAACAGCTTTATAGAAACCAGATTTGGAGAGAAGGCAGATTTTTCTCATCAGTATGTGCTTTCGTTGATAATAATAATAATAATAAAAAAAGTGTCTACTTGGCAAGAGGTTTGAAACACAACGTAACTTCTGGCATTTAAAACTGTTAATAGTTTTATGGGGTCTTTTATATACATTTTCCATGGATCCAAATTTCAAATGAAGTTCTAGCGTTGCATCTTTTATTCTACCTGTTATACAAATGAAAAGATAAAGCAACAAAATCAGTTTTTAATTAAAAAAAAAAAAAAAAAAAAAAAAAAGCTATGATTTGGGGGCTTTTTGTGGATTGTTTCCTTTAAACCAAAAATGTTATTCTGTTTTATCCAATGTTTGTGTCCAAGTTTCAACCATCTGTCTGTGGAGTTGAGGTTAAGCTAAATAATTTGCTAACGCCTTCCTCCTGGGTTTTGATCGGTGTTTCTGACCAGGATCGGTGTATTTCTGCAGCTGGCAATAGGCAGGGCCACAAGGATTTGTACAATCTTCTAATTTAAAAACATCTTATTAATCAATCAAATTTTATTTGTATAGCACATTTCAGCAGCAAGGCATTTCAAAGTGCTTTACATAATTAAAATAAAAACAGCATGTGACATTGAATAGACAATGAGAAAGAGAGAGATTTTAAGAGAAAGAAACAGTGAGAAAGAGAAATAAAAAGAAAATAAAGTAAAGATAAAGAGATTTAATAAAAAAAATAAATAAAATAAGAAATAAAAACATTATTCAAATGAGGACTTGCCCTTAAGGGATCTCCTCCAAAATAAGAGGAGGAGATCCTCTTATTTTGGACTTACTTACTAGGACTTTAGTTAAACCACCATTTGACAAGGACTCAAACCTTTAAAACTTCTTTACATAAAGAGATAAAAAAACAAAGATAAGAAAATTAAAAACATCAAAAACATCGAAGACACCAAAACCCACACTCTAATCCTAATTTAGCCATAAGCAACTCTAAACAGGTTTTAAGTTGAGATTTAAAGGCACCCAGTGTTTCAGCTGTTTTACAGTTTTCTGGAAGTTTGTTCCAAATTTGTGGTGCATAGAAACTGAATGCTGCTTCTCCTCGCTTGGTTCTGGTTCTGGGGATGCAGAGCAGAACCAGAACCAGAAGATCTGAGGGGTCTAGACGGTTGGTACAGCAGTAACAGATCTTTAATGTATTGTGGTGCTAAACCGTTCAGTGATTTATAAACTAACAACAGTATTTTAAAGTCTATTCTCTGAGCTACAGGGAGCCAGTGAAGGGACTTTAAAACTGGTGTTAAAAAAAAAAAAACTGGTCTTATATCTCCATAATGTATCTGCAAATTTACTGTGGCTTTAAAATGTTGTGCTATGTGCATTTCTGTGTTACCAGCCTCATTCATGAGCAGGTTAAATGAGAGTCGTCTTTTGTTTCTTTACCTTTTCGCACATGACTCATTCCAAGTTATAAGAAAAAAGAGAAAAAGAAAAAATCCCACTGAGCTTTTTTGCAGACTCACCAGTGAACAATTTCAAATGCTCATAACACCGCAGGTCAATTGTGTGGGCTGCAGTATAGACTCTCCATAAATTAAACACAAAAGAATCAAGCCTTAGAAATAAAGTGCTGCTAAACACAGAGGAGAAGGGAACTCTTTTTTTTTCTTTATATTTCAGAGGCAACAAACTAATGTAAAAGAAAAAGAAAACAGGAAAGTACATCAAGTAATTCATTTCAAAATGGCATTTCTGCCTCCCCAACATATGAAGTGCTTACAGGTTCGGCTGCTGTTTGACATGTTTTGCTTGTTGTGACAAAATACAAGTCCATTTGAAGCTAAGCGCTTTGTGTGACGAGGTTGAATTTTGGCTACATTATGAACAAGATGGAGTATTTTTTTTCCCCTCCTATTTAAAGACTGAGCTCTAAAAGTTGCCAATCAACTAAAAAACATGTGTTTAAAGAAATAAACAAGCGAAAAGGCATGGATTGCTATACTAATGCAAGGTTCCTGATGCCTGATGCTGCGTCCTCAACTTTAAAAAAAGCTATTTGTGTCACGAAATGCAGAGTAAGTGCTGCGGTGGGCAAATCTTTTGTGGAGAAGTAGGTTTTTCTAAATCATCACAGACGAAAATGTTGGCAGTTCCAGGAATTGGTCTTCTGTTTATGTCCATTCAGAACCCAGAAGCAGCTAATCAGCTTGAACGTCGTCAGGGACACATGCTCAGATAATTGTCGAGTACAGTCAGTGTGCCCTAATAGCTGGCTGACAGGCTTCAGTTTGCTTGGACATGTTATTTCCCTCCCACAGCCGACTGGTTAGCTACAGTGACGGTAAAATTGCCTATTTTACAGGTGCTTCAATCATGGGTGCAGAAACTCACTATATATAAACCCGTGATGGTAATCACCCACAGGACAGGGATTTAGCAAACATTTAACGTTTAACAAACGTAACAAATTTTCTAAGAAATGCCTACCAGAAACCAATTACAGGGTTTGTAAGGCAGTATTTGTACCTGCTGCTTGATGTCTGACTTTACTAGCTCATTTCAATGTTTTTTTTTTCTTTGTTTGTTTGTTTTTGTTCATATCCAAATCAAGTAAGCTTCAAATACAGTATTAACTACATCACTGTTTTTTTTTAGCTAATATATTTCCTGACATAAAGATTTACACCAGATGCCAGTATCACCTTAAGTTAATTACATGTTCTCTACAAAGAAATCAACACAAATAGATCTGTTAATTATCTGTAATAAGGTGAAATGACACAGGGGATCAGTATTGAGCACACCCACGTTCAGTCCTGCTCACATTGGTCATCTCATCCAGTTCAAGTGATTACCAGGGTAATTCTAGCAACTTCACTTTATTTCTTTGAAATCTGAGTTTCCTTGGCTGCGTGGGATCGTTGTCATTTCGTCCACAGACTTTTTATCGACAATTTGCTGGTACATTCTTCTTTCAGTTAAATGAAATCAGCCATTGCACTTCTTAACACAAAACTCTAAGCACTATTTGCTTATGGGTATTAGATAGATTTATAATTCCATCTAATAACCAGAAAAGTATCCTTTTAACAAAGTGGTAAAAATTGTATATCTGCTAAAATCTGCTTCCTGTTTCATGTGTGTGAAGAACATACTTTGGAAAACCATCTTAGATAACATTATAGTCACCACCATGTGCAGATTGAGCAAACATCATGTGCACATGTGTCACAGGTGGCCCGGCAGACTACCTGTTTATTTACGGTCTATGTGTCAAAGAGAGGTGAAAACACACGTGCAGTCAGGCTTACAAGGCCGACCTCTATGTCACGTCGATAGATGGTAGATTTACTGCTCAGTATAATAATATCCAAAGCAGGAGAGAAGGAGCTAATCAGAACAGAGCTTAGCTGTGGAGTGTAACTTGCCGATTTACACACATTTTATGAAATGACACCATCATAAGTAAAAGAAACATCACTGAACAAACACCTCTCACTGCAACCTACCTCTAATGCCTCTCTGACATACTCATTCACTTTGAGGTTTTCCACAATTATGTCATATTACAACCACAAACTTTATATTTATGTTTCATAGGCTGGGCGTTGAATTTAGTTTGGTTCATTTTGATTCGATTATTCTAGGTTTCATTTTACTTCTGTGTTTTTTTTTTTGTTTTTTGTGGGGGATTGGAGGTTTTCTACTGTTACTCTTTTATGTCAGTGCCTCACTTTAACAGATGTTCCCCATCTGTTCGTTCCATCACCTGTATGGCATCTAATAATCAAAGCCTCCGCTATGAATGCTTCTTGGTTCAGTTACTCCATGTCAGACTCCCTGTTGTCCTCGTCCTGCTTTTTCCACTTCACTAAAATGTGTTCATTCACCACACTTCTGTCACTGTATCTGCATTTGTGTCCTCAACAAAAAAAAAAGACATGACATAATGTGTCTGTAAGAAATTGTATTTATTTATTTAGATTTCATGAGCTAGACCAACACAAGGTAGTTCATAACTGTAAGGTAGAACTGCATGTCACAAACCTGGTCAAAGAAGAAGGCCATAAGCTAAGAGAAAGTGTTTGGAGTTTACCACAAGCCATGCTGGGTAAACTCCATATTATCATTTCCCTTCTCTCTGTCATGCTCTATTTGCTGTTGGTTAGAGACAAAGTGATACCCAAAAATACATTGAAGTTGTTGGTTGTAATGTGAGAAAAGTTCAAGGGGGATAACTTTATAACAAACAGTATCTGTGACAAACTAATACATCAGGTCTATCCTTACCACACGCACCCAAGAAAATGTAGGTGTCAGTGTGCAGAAGGGCAATCGAATAATGGATTTATATTGCACTAGTTAAATAAAAGCAAATGGGCACAAAATGCAATCTAAAAACGGAAAGAGCTGCAAAAGGCTTTTGTGTGGCAAGTGTTAAATATTTATTCTAATTTGAAATTCAAGGTCATCTTCCAGAGGGCAAAGAATAGGTTTTGTAAAAAGCATCTTGGCAACCGCCTCTAGTGTTCCAAATAAATTGGCATACATTTTGACACACCTGAGTGCTGCTGAAAAAAAAAGCCTTTATTTCTCTACTGCAACAACTTAGTCAAACTTTTGGTCATGCCTTATCAATGTAAGCTGAGTTCAACTGGGGTCAGTTGCAAGATGCTAAGCTCAGTAAATATATTTGCATAATTCTTTGAATAACCATATCCTGTCTATTTTTTGTTTGCTTGAAAAGGAAACCATTAAAAATATTTTCAGTAAAACTACTTCATCAGTGTCTATGACCGTCTTATCTTTTTAGAAAAAAAAAAAAGATTGTGGCATTGGGATTTACCTGAAATGAACCTCAGATCTAAAAGTGTGACTTGTTGCGTAAGGTAGGGATAGCTCATCTGTGGTCTGTGCATTAGTTGCTGTTTTTGGTTCTTTTTGGACCTCCTGGTTGAATGGTCAGTACCCTCTTATAGTCATTTTGGTAGGCCAGCCACTCACAATGGGAGGTTCACTATTGTTTCATGTTTTCTCCATTTGAGGCAAATGGCTCTCTGTGGTTTCCTGGTGTCACAAAGCCTTAGAAGTGACTCTGTAACCATTTCCAGACTGACTGATGTCATGTGTGTGTTGCTTTTGAAATCTTCTAGCTTGCATCATGTTGTAGGCTAACATTTTATTTAAGCAACTCCCTAAGTCTGAAAGTCTAGGACTGATGAGGCTTGGGTGTGGATAGTGAAACTTAGCTAAAAAAAAAAAAAAAAGGAGAGAGGTTAAGCTCAGGGAATTCATGTTTTTAGTTCCTGCACTAACTCGGGTTCATAATTTTTCAGTTTGTGTGATACAAAAAAAAACAAAAAAAAAACAAGAAATTTGTAATGACGCAACTTTTATTCACATAACTTTTTAGCATGTGTGAAACGTGTTTGTGTCTAGTTGAAAGGCCTGCATGGGGAATTTTAGTTTCAAATAAATTTACTGTTACGCCCCGTAATGTTATAGCTGTGGCTAAGGTGACCCTAAACCTGCTGCTTTTGTATTTACCTTAAAATTCATCAAATTAATAACAGCTCTTATATCACCCTCACCCAGTTACAAACATTTACTCCAGCGTGGGCCATGTGTGTGCTCAGTGGCGCAGTAATGAGTGAAATCAGGGTAAATGAGTTGCCAGGCAACTTTGTTCATGTCATTCTGTGTGCCGTAAACATACTGAGGGACATAAACTATCTGCGGTACTACTCTCACAGTGGCCAGTAATGGTGTGTGTAGGATGTAGGTGGGTGGGTGCATGTGTGTGCGTGTGTGTGTGTGCACACAGACAGGTGTAAGGTTGGGTAGCTCGACTGTGTCCAGTCATTTTACTAATTCTAAAATGGCATCATCAATAGACCTCGCAGGTAAAAACATCTGTCACTGTTTGTGAGTTGATTGCAGCCTGACCTGCATCTGTCAACTCTGACAGACCATTTGTCTTTATTTGACGGAAACACTGCGAGCTCTGAGGCTCAGAGGACTTGCAACTCTTTGCTTTTCTGCGCTGTCTTCTCTAAAGTGCTTTAAAACAAAAAGTATTTAATGTTTAATAAGTCTGTAAATAACATTGCAGATTCTCACGCTGACAGAGGTTTGACTTTTGGCCACTCAAAGACATTTAAAGGTTCTCCTTTAAAAGTGTTCCTTAAACATTAAGTCTGGGGAAATCTCTCATGGTGAAACCCTAGACTTTTACAGCCATGATGCTGACACCACCAGGCTTCTTCAGCATGCGCTGTCGTTTGCCTAATCCTCTATGAAATCTGCACACATATTTAACATCACACCTATAATTTACTATTAAATCTTAACCTATATTTTCTTTTAAACCATTAAAAATGCTTAAATGTAGTAACAAGGGTTAACAAATGCAATAATCATTAATGTGAAGTAATTTAAATATCAGCTTTTTTTTTATCTGTCTGTCTTTTTGTTCAACAGACATTTTCAACACTACCATAAGTGGTGATAAAGCGCCATGTTGAACACTAACAACGTACGTGCTGCTATGTGGTGCTTGTTTTTGCCTCAACACCTTTAAATAATTGTATGTCTATTTTTTGCAATGTCTATCATACCACAACATAAGTGTTGTTGTTTTTCGGCATACATGATCATTTCAAAATATACACCACTATCCCATTTAATATTTGAGAAGAAACAGCTCTGTTTTGCTGTTATGGGTTAGATTGTTATTGTTAACGTTGTTGAGAGAGAGAACAGTAGTAAAGAAGGATTTCAATTTTATCTTCAAAATAAAGACAAAAACGTTTATGTTGAATTTTTAAAAAAAATCTGTCTTCAGAAGCCTGTATTAGCAATGAGAACACGTAACTTTATCAGAATGGTTAGCATCGCTAATTTTAAACATCAATCTCTGTGTGTATTTTCTGTACAGTTAATAGTCTCGTTCCTGTACTGGATTCTGTACGCTGCCGATATTACCTTATCCTGCATGTTCTGTGACAGGCAGAAAAGGAGTCTTGATAAAGATAAAGCAGAGCAGCTTGTTGTGCTTGCATTTGTGAGCTACATAGGTTTGAATTGTATGTAATTAGTCTACGAGAATACACTAATTTGATTTACAGTCTTGCTTTAAATATGCCCCAAAGCACACATTACATGTGTGCATGAGGTATAATCATTAATAACAAGGAAATGAAAAATAAATAAATAAAAAAAAAGGAAGGAACATGGCTAATTATCAGCTGGTTTATTTCTCCCTACTGAAGAGAATATAAGCAGCAATAATCACACTTTTATGAACAAACAGACGCACATCTCTGCATGCGTTTCCAAATCATCGACACTGATTTGGTATTATGCATTTATTGTTTGGAATTGAGTTTTCTCAAAATCTTAAATGAAATAAAGCCTTGGGCAGACGGCTGGGAAAACAGAAGTGGATGGGAGGAATTAGACACAGGTACAGAAATTTCACCTATAAGAGGACAAAGACACATCTGCTTTCTATGTGTGTGTTTTTGTTTTCCTGCTCATGTCACTTTAAATATGATTTCAAAACATTTATTTTTCACTGACAAAACAAACATTTTTAAAAAGCACATTTCTCTAAAAAGATAAATAAAAGCTACCGCTTGGGAACTATTTTCTGAACACTGTTCACTTGTGGTCAAGCACGTGACACATCTAAGGTCGTCTTAGATGTGTCAGCCATGCACGGAGGGGAAACAGCTTCATAGAGACCATGAGTGCAATGCAATATTCATTCCTTCCCGTCACCGGTTGGTGGACTTTGTAGTGTGAAAGACTGATTGGCCGTCTCCACCCAACAAATCACTCCTGCCTACAGCGCAGCAGAGGACCACAGGGTGGTGCGAGACTGGGGAGGAATCGTTTAACCTGTGCCAGGAGATATCAACCAAACAGGGGAGGATGTTTACCCCTGAGGCCACTCATGATGGTAATAATGTGTGTTTGTGCCCATGTGAAATGAATTGTCAGGAATGTGACAAATTTGTATCTACAGTTTGCACACACACACACTGCTCTTGGCAACATTTGTGTGTGGTTGTCTGACAGTAGAGTCAAACAGCTCCTTTGGCCAGGAAAGATGAGGAGTCATGAGAAGCACCTTTTATTTATTTATTTATTT